GTTGGATTTCCACCGTGAGTTCTACGCATGCTTGGCAATTGTTGCAAAATATAAACAAAGTATTTGAAATGTCTCGTCGAAAATTTGCTACTTTTTTACACTGAAATCGATTGAAAACAACTAGAAATTCTGGAGGGAATATGTGCGAAAGCTTCGGATTGACTGGGATACAACTACCTGAAAAATACAAGGAGAACTTCGACGTTTCGAGCGAAGGCTCTTCGACTTGTGCTGTTAATGTTTGTATATATAGTACTTGACCTTTTATACTGTCGTACTTTAATAACACTACGTATACCATAAAATCTGTCAGGAGAGTTAAATGTAAATTTTAAAGCATAAAAATATATAACACTCATTCTTGAGGAGATTTATCAGTAAAGGTGAAGTACGATGTATATAAACACTAACAGTACAAGTGACAAGTCGAAGCGCCCTCCCTCAAAACGTCGAAGTTCTCCTTGTATTTTTCAGGTAGTTGTATCCCTATCAATCCGAAGCTTTCGTACATATTTCCTCATAATTTTTAGTTGTTTTCAATCCGATTTCAGTGTAAAAAATATCAAATTTTCGACGAGAAATTCTAAATACTTTATTTATATTTTGCAACAATTGCTGAGCATGCGTAGAACTCACGTTGGAAATTCAACGTGAATCAATTCGATTTCTCCAGAGCTATGCCCACCCTTAACCTGCGAACGGGCATGCCCGGGGAACGAGATTGGTGCGGAAGCATGTAATATGATACTTTTCCCACACCCCCTTAGGCAATTAATTTTCTGTGAGCCACCTGACCAGCTCTGACCAGGGTCTTTAGTTCCCCGAAGAGCCTGAGAACGAGGTAGCAGATTTATGACCAACGTAGATAATGAGTTATGTTGTTATTCTAATGCGTTTCACAGCCATCTGGCTTTCGACGACAAAAAAGTCGAGCAGCGCTAGCATTAGGAGGTCCAAAAAATTACAGGGCTCAATGAAAGTCTTCCCCATGCCCCGATCAAATGGTCCGCCCCTAATATATAATATTTCTAAAATCCCTAATAGGATAGTCGTCGCATGCAAACAGGCCATGGTGACGAGTGTACCTCTTAGGTTTATAAGTAAAATGGTGATTATTTTCATCATAAAACAACAAGTCAGCACTATTTAAAGTATGAAAATGTCAGCAAGTCAATGAAATAGATCTGCCTAACAGAAGCTCCAAAAGCAAGAGCCTTTTTACAATATTTCGAAACCTTTTCTGCAAATATTTTCCGAGAAAGAGGGCGTATAGCCTATCATACATATTGAATGTCGATGTAAAAGTTTCGTTGTTGAGAATTAAACTGGGGAAAACATATTCATTTTACAGATGTAAAGCTGGTATACTTTAATTCCGTATTAGTTCCGGTAGTAATCTTGTGTTTATAAAATGCTGCGCCGTCCGTGGTTCGTCTTCCGCCTTTTGTCTACACTCATGACTAAAGGTTATCTTCATTATGAATATTCTAATGTTAAAAATTCCAATTGTTTCGTAATTTCGATCGACATCCAATGACGAATGGCGTTTATGCACTATAAGCGCAATCAGAACTTTTCAATGACAGGCCTCAGCCAGTCAGCTATTCATCTCTGGGATTTTAACAAGCCTTGTAAGATCAACTTCTTTCGAATCAGACCTTTATAACTCGCCTTAATTTAATTTAAATGATCAAAATAGACCGAGTTTACTTCGACGTTTTATCACTAAATTGATCGCACAATCTTGCGAGAAAAGGAGAGTTACCAACCCAAGCTATATTGTCCTACTATGCACGCAGCAGTTGACTGTTTCCCTTCAATAAAATAAAATAGAAAATGAAGGGGGTTCCGGACTCCTCCCGTCATTCTGTAAGTCTTCAAGACTAATTGTGGAATTCTTTCAAAACTGAGGAGAAACTGATGTTGGGCGTTGCCTCTAGAACGAGGGGCCTGTACCGGGTTCCGAAATCCCGCCATCCCGACCGATTTTCACTTCAAATCCCGTTATCCCGCCATGCCTCACCCCAATTTCCCGCTCCCGACTTTGTTTCTAACGCTGTTCAACTTATGATGACAACGTACGGCGACAAGTTTTGTTGTTTTATCCCGCTAATCGTGGGTTACTTCCCGCATATCGCCATGGTATTTTTATTAATCCCGCTTCCCGCGATGAAATAAAATCCCGCTTCCCGCCAATATTTCTCTTAAAATCCCGAATCCCACTTCAATTTTAGACGCATGCCGCCATCCCGCAAAACCGGTAGAGGTCCCTCTAGAACGTTTTCATCTACGACATAAAATTACCAAATTTCTGGCTTTCAGACTACCGCAAAACGTGTATAAAATGCATGAAATAGCGTTTCGCAGCCCCCCCCCCCCACCCCACACTCGTTTGGGGCTGGCTAGCGCCCAGGTTGGATAACAAACAAAACATTTTCGCAAACGGCCCATTGAATTAACTACATAATAATGACAGGGTACTAAATGTGAATTTTATTTATTCAAAAATATTTAAAAATGTTAGTGTCAAAAAAAATTATACGAGTGCACGGTACAAAACTATTACCAATTACAAAAAAACACTTAGTACTACATGTGGAAGGCTAATTAACACATGCTTGTATACAAAAATAACAAATCCATGCATACAATGTGAGCATACTTAATACTAGTAGCACAATTACGTTAGAAGGTGACGATTGTCAACTAATACATGTAATTAATTAATTAAAGAAAACTGTTTGAAAAGAAATGTTTAACATGATTTCAAAGTTTGTGACTAACATCTTAGCTCTATTCGAAATAACGATTTATGGCATCTGAGAAAATTAATACAATTTTTTCAGAAACTTTTGAACTGAACGTTTGTATTGCTAGAAATAATAAAAAATCGAGTATATTCATGCATGCATGATTAACGAATGCCTTAGTTGACAATCCCACTATGTGCAGGAAAGCTGTTGTAGTAGTATACGTATGTCTATTTTAGCGGTAGTATTCTCTCATCGCTTCTCGTTCTGCGTACTGTGGAGTTGCTATAGCACTCACTCTTCCCATTGATATTTCATCCTCTTCAGCTATATATTTCCCAGCACTATTTAGTCTAACCATGCAAAAAAATCTTTCATCAGCATACATATTATAATGAAATGATAGAGACAAGGCATAATCATTCAGTAATTCTTCAGTCATACAGAAGCTCACTCTGTTCTTGAATCAAATGTGAAGTTAGGATACTATTTAAATAAAAATTGTCATAATCCAAACTGTATAATTCACAACTTCACAACACAAAATCTGGTTATAATTCATGTCTCGCCTGGTCTAGGTTTGCAAAAATATTATCGGGTGTTCCCATGGGAAGACCACAAAACCGTTTCACTTCCCTCCACCAGTCCTTTGGTTTAGTATGCTTCACATCTTTGACCTTATTTTCATAATACAACTTGCGACACCTTTTTTGGAACGATTGACTTTGTTTCGTAATATTTTGTAAAGCGTTTGGTTACCTTGGGCAAAAGCTTTTTGCATTGCCTCTTTACGAATGCCGAGCCCTATCCTTATCTTGACACTAACTCTAACCGCTGATCCTATAACTCACCAACAGTGAGACATGAATCTATATCCCAAAATCGAAATAAACGACATGAAAATTTATATTTTCTGTCTTCTGAGCTCTTATTTCGGGATAATGAGCTATTTAAGCACGGTTTAAAAACTCAATAATTCATGAGAAAAATACAAAGGAATCACTGCGGTGTCGGTGGTTTTACATGTGATAAAAAATCAAGTTAATTTACATAAATTTTAGCATTGTTTTTTTTCGGCGTAGAAAACGTTTATTTTTAAAATTCGTCAATAAACTCGTATTTTTAAAATTCGTAAAATTCGTCAATGGGTCTTTTTGCAAATCATTTAATTAAAGCACTTGTAGTCGTATGTATGTTACAGCGCGGACTGTGAATGACTTCAAAACGACCCATCTGATGTGTTCATTGGCGGAACTACAATATTTTTAAAAATAAACTGTTTCTCAGCCAACAAAATAAAATCTAAAGTTTTATAATATATACTTTGGTAATTGTAAATCATTGTCACATTCCCTAGGCTCAGTTCAATTCATTATTGCTTCACCTGTCGAAGACGGGAAGAAGAGTGGGAGTATTTAATAAAAGTTTAAGACTAGAAATTAATGTCTCCAAAAACACATTACACGGCATTACAAAGCAAGATACTTAGAAAAAATGAAACAGAAAGACCTGCAAGCATACAAATTCGCATTAAAAGAGAAAGCAAACAAACAAATCAAGAAATAGAAGAGTAGAAACAAACACACAAAAGCAAACAAACAAACAAAATTAGAGATGCTAATATTATAGAGACGCTACTCACGTTTTACATATAAGAATTAAAATGAAGAAAGTGGCAAGGAAGCAAATGCCAAGATAAACTACGACACCGACCATGAGCCATTTCACCAGATCCGCATCTTCGTCATTCACTAAAATACACAACAAAACTTTAGCGAGAAATCTTAACTCAGAGAAACCAGCAAAGGTGTAAAGTTTGAAGACAGTCTCGCATACGCGAGGTATGGCTAAGATATGTTGCTTTCCATAAATATAGCAATGGTATTTGCGCTTTTCTTCATTCAGTTTGCGCTTACTTTGAGTAAGTTTTATTTCCATACGCATTTAGTTATAATACTCTGCGGGGTATTTTTGGAGGTATTTCCGTGTCACAAACGTCACAAATTCCTCCAACGGATAGCAGACTCATGGTGCACTAACCAATATTAAGCAATAATGGTGCAGTAACCAATATACTAAATGATTAGTTTAACTTCCACAGTTCAGTGGAATCAATTTCAAATTGGCGGCCATGCAGTCATTGCGTATTTTTGTAGATGGAAATTTCGAGTATAAATTATATATATATTGTTGACCTAACCAGGAGGAGCTGCGAAAACAAGCAAGTAAGCAAGACTTCTGAGAGCAGTCGAACCTGCGGCTCCGCGATTTAGGTACAGCAATCTCTAATCTACCAAGTTACAGAGTTCAGTTGCCTAGCATTAAAAATATAGGGAATTTATCACTGAAGTAAAAATCTAAACGAAACACAGTGTGTTGGCAGTTTGAATCTTAAAAAAAGTCAAATCAGCTTAATATCTTGGGCTATGACTGATATGATGATGGCTTCAAGATGCTAAACTGTGGATTTCGTTTCGTTTTTATTAATTAGTTAATTAAAAACTCGAGCTCTTGCAGTTACAATAACTGAATTAGCAAATTTAAATGGTCGGCGGGTATTGTTCATTTATCACCGAACAATATGACTAAAATATAATTGTAATACATAAAAGAGATAAACACATACCGAAATACAGCGGTGGGTAGACTGTGATAGCTGTAGAAGAAAAAGAAACGGGCATCCATTTAGTTTATTTTTGTAAAAATAGCCTAGCGATCCGACTACATAAATCTACTTAGTTATAGAAACAAATACAATAGCGTACTAAATACAATCGGAGACGAAATTGATTGTATGACATAACTAGGCATTGTTATCTTGAATTCATTCACGGCTTGTCTTTACCCATATCTGTGGTTTCATGATACTATACGTCGATCAAGATGTGTTTTGTTTTATATTGTTTAAAACCTTTGAGAGATATTACTCGCCATTTAGTTTAAACAATAACGACTAATCTGATATCTCATCACGTATGTGATATCTGACATCTTATCATCTTGCATCTTACATCTTATATACATACCTGTGCAACTAGGCGGAATTCCTGTATAACCAGTAGCACATTGACATGAATAAGTTCCTATTTCATTAGTACATGTTGCTCCAGTACCACAGTCTTGAATATGAATGTTTGATGCTGGATTACATTCATCATAATCTATTTGGGAATCAAATTAATATCATTACATTTTTGTAGGTTACATCATAATAAATTTTGAAATGTTTCCCTGTCCACCTTGCCTGCGGGCAAAACTAATTATCAATAATCCCAGCCTACATTGCGAGCAGCTTGTGAACTAGGGGGAGGCCGGGAAAAATTTTAGAAATCAACGCTCAAAGAAGTCAATTTTGCAATTGGGTATAGCAAATGACTACAACGAATATAAAATTTGCCAAAAGACATTGGGAAGTTTTAACATGACAAAACCTTCTGAACCAAGTCTGCAGTTGTAGCCCATTAGAGGTAATCGCCTTACTGTATATATAAACATCTGACACCCATGCCAACCTAAAAGTTGCTTCTACAGCCTTTTCCATCCAGGATACAGCTATTCTCACAAGCAATAGTCAAATGTACGAATTCAAGGCACAGTTCAGCCTTTTGAATGATGGTTAAAAAAGCTAACTAGGAAAATCAGTTAAGCATAATTCAAGACCAGCAAACTGAATGTTTTTAACATTTTAAAACATTTTTATTGTAAAATAAATTGAGTTTACTGATCTTGAATTATGTATAATTGATTTTCCGTGTTAGTGTTTTCAATTTAAAAGGCTGAAATGACCCTTAAAAACCATCATTCAAAAGGCTGAACTATGTCTTTAGCACCATAAATATAATGGGAATAACGTGTTTTATTGGAGGAAACGTGCTATACATCACATAGTCTTGCGAATTACAAAAACAAAAAGATTTATGGTCATTAATTTTGAACTGTTTGTGCCAGTGTAGGTAGCGCCAAAAGTATTAAGAAGCGTTCGTTGGTAGGGATGCATCGAAATTCTCCTCGTATTTTTTAAGGTAGTTGCATTCCTACAAACTAAAGATTGTCTATGGTCCTGCCATTAGCCGGCGTGCAGCTTCAGCCCGAATTTATTAAATATCAAGTCTGCTCATCCGGAAAGCAAAACATCTGCAGTCACGTCTGAAACTAGGGATCCAAGGATAGTGTGAAGTTTCAAATTTAAAGAGACACTGCAAGAACTATATAGGGTGGCCGACAACCTAGAAAAGCTTGATGGCTTACACTACGAAATAAACAGTTACTAAAGGCATTTCATCTCATTATTTATTGCTTTATTGCACACGAGTAGCGTGACGTTTGAAGCAAGCCTAACACATCAGAAACGTGCCTTGTGAAACTGAGCATGCAATTCATCTATTTATTCTGTCACCAACAACCAAATTTTGCATATTCTAAATTTTCATTTGCATTTGCAGCTGTCGCTAAAACATCCCCACGAGGCTACTGCTATGCTAAATTTATCTAATAAACTATAATTGAAATAGCTGAATAAGATATGTTATGAATAATAAGCACTGCGTCGTTACATCATTAAAAGACGCATTTTATCCTCATCCGTTCCGTATTTTATCCACATATCCGTTCCGTAAATCCGCTCCATCCGCTTCGGCATTTTAACTTAATTGTGACATGTTTCACAATAAGAAGTTTCATTGACCTTTGACTTTTCCCAGTGTGACGTGTGTCTATTTTCAGCTTTTCGCATGTGTTGAATATAAATATTACTTTAGATTTCAATAGTTTCACAGTTATAGCAGTGTTTAAAGCATTTTTGACAAGCTTTGATACAGTTCTGTGTACAGAATACTACAGATTGATTCTCGTAAGATCTGGTAGAGTTATCGTTGCACTGAACACGAGTTTGTTAATAGTTGTTTATGCTTTATTGATCTGATACCAATCTGATGCTATTTTTCGCTCTTTGTACTGAGTATAGCCATCTATTCTGTGATGTAGCACCTTATACAGTCAATGACAATGTATAATGAATACACGGTCCAAATAATATCGACGGTAATGCATAACATCAATTTATATATTGTATTACTATTATTGCGTAGAATCTCAAAGATTTTCTCAATATTCATGTCTGAAATGTTTATATACTTGAAAACAACACTGTCTCGCTTCTGCTTACGTACTGTACCTCTGTATAATGAGTATGCCGTGAAAATAATATTGGCACTCAATTGAATGCCTAGAATCAAGATTTTCGACTCAACATTTACGTCTGAAATGTTTATACACTTAACTGCATGCACTGTCTAGGTGGTCTAGCTCCTTCCTAGCTCTGTATGAATATACCGTCTAAATATTATCGGCACTTATTAAATTGAACGACCGTAATGCATAAGATCACTTTATATATTGTGTAGATTTTCAAAGATTTACTCAATATTCACGTCTGAAATGTTTATATACTTGAAAACAACACTGTCTCGCTTCTGCCTACGTACTGTACCTCTGTATAATGAGAATACCGTGAAAATAATATCGGCACTAAAATTAATGCCTAGAATCAAGATATTCGACTCAATATTTACGTCTGAAATGTTTAAACACTTGACTGCACTGTCTAGGCGGTCTAGCTCCTTCCTAGCTCTGTATAATGAATATACCGTCTAAATATTATCGGCACTTAATTGAACGCCCGTAATGCATAAGATCAATTTATATATTGTGTAGATTTTCAAAGATTTACTCAATATTCACGTCTGAAATCAATATACATCTGAAAACACCACTGTCACCCCTTCCTAGCATATCGTCACGCCATCGTGATCTACGGCTTGATAGCGCATGCGCATTTGCGCTACTAAAGAAAAAATCGGGTGTTCCGGGGTAAAGATCCTTTACACAACATGAGAAGCGAATGTTCTAAAATTTACAAAAAATTACAATAATGAAAGCGATTCCTCAAATTTTTGTGAACTTGGCAAAAGGATAACAGAATATGTAAATAAGTTAACTGAAATTGCCTAAATAACCTTCGAAGTACTGACTAAGTACAATAAATCATTACGAACATAAATCGTATACACCCCCCGGAAAGTTTACTCTATGACTGACTGACTGACTGTTTGACTGACTGACAGATTCGTGTGAATTCGCCAGCCATCACAATAGTGTGAAGTTTCAGTGTGAAGTGAAAAAAACGGGGAACATCTGAGTTTGGTCAGTTACTAAATATTCATGACAAGTATTGCTCCATGCTAAACGCGATATATAATCAGTTGAACAATCCAAATTCATAGCTGAAGTGGAAGCGCACAGAACTGTGGCTGATTCTAAGCGTTGCATTAACACAGTACGTATCTACTGATACCCGGTGCGGATGTTGCTTTTTGCCGGTTGAACGAAAGCGACTGTTCACTCAAAGCAGAAATATCAAAGATGTCTATAGTTAAATACGATGGTTGAGCGGTTAAAACTAAATAAACGTTTTGCACACGATCATAATTTGACACAGGATATACGTTATCGTAGGTTTCTCGCCTTCATGCGCGCCTTGGCAGGCTTTGTTATTCATTTGGTCGAATTTCCACCATTGGTTTACAAAAGTGATTACGGGTGAATATTCACCGTAATCGCTGAGCCTGAGGCGAATAATTGTTTTAGTATAAATTTTTAATTAATAAAACAAAATATCCAAATATTAGTTTAATTAAAATTCAGAAATAAAACTGTTTTCGGCCAGTTCACGGTTGTGTGACTTTGTTGCTTTATTTCAAAGTTGTTTTTCTCGATTTCTCCTTAGAATATAAACACAATGACTTTTTTACCAGACTTAGAGTTAAAAAATAGTTTCTGTTTAGCATTAATTTGTTCAGGAATTGTTTGAAAAATTTGGTAAAAATGAAATGTAAAACTATATCGTTCGAAATAAAGTTTTAATACACTTTTCACTTTACAAGTTTCGAAAACACAGAGAAAATATAGCGTCAGGACACCATAGGCCTACAGCACAATGAAAACATGACATATCAAAAGAAATAGTATCATACAAGTTGAGATATCTTTAGGATACAAAACAAAATTGTTTTAAAAAAGAATATCACGGCTTTTCCCAACAGTCGGGATAGTTTTTGTATCTGCGCGTAGCGCAGATATATTGCTATCGCGTCAGTCAGTAAAGTAAAGTAAAGTAAAGTAAAGTAAAGTAAAGTTAAGTAAGTTAAGTTAAGTTGTTAAGTCCGTCAACCTTGTTTTGAAGGCCTGTTCGCAGGCTAGAACAGCTTTAAAACAAGATGGCGTCTTTCGAAAAGCTTTCAAGAGTAGTAATCATTAGTAATCGTGGTATTAAACTATTAATAGACTTTATCCTGACTTTATTTTGATAAAATCTTCTTCTATAGCAGTCTTGCACTGATATAACTCTTACAGTCAAACCGGATGTTCTGTTCCCATGAGTATTGCAACATTGCAATCAATCTTGCAATGTTGATTGCAAATTGCTCCGAGCAAATTACACGCAAGTATTCAACTGTCATTTTTTCAAGCTCCTATCACTCCCGTGTTGGGGAAAGGGAATAACAAATCAAAAGGACTAATATTGTGCCTACCACTTGACAAATTAAAGGTAAACTGGAATGTATAGAGGATATTTATACATGGTTGTGCGGAAATATGTAATTTATTTCGAGTGTTGAAGAGAACTATTGCTAACGAGTGAGCGTAGCAAATTGCAAGTTGTTCCATTATGTGATTTAATAATCTAAATTTTTGAGTAAGGTCATGGACATATTGTAATTATTATGAGTATTTACTATTTTATCTTCGTATCAAACCAAATATATAGCATTGCGAGCTTTAATTGGTATTAAACTCTGCCAGTTTGAGAACATATGTTTACATATTTAACTACCGCAAAATAAATCCCTCTTTGGCACTGAATTTTGCATGTTATTTAGTATTTTTGTATCACGTTAAGATCAAAATGGACATATTTCTTGAATAATACTTTTAATCTGTGAAATGATATATATAAAAATATTAGTCCTCATACTTCGTTTTGGATTTGTTACTCAGTTTTGTGATAGGGGTACCAAAGCCTTGATATTTCCAGAGGTATTAAAATACAAAATTAGCCTGTGACAGTATGCTCCTGATTTTACTTCATACTCGATTTGGAGCA